AGGAACTCTGGTGGCACAGTGGCTGAAGTACTCTGCTACTACCCAAAAGTTTGGTGTTTGAAACCGACTAGCCAGTGCCCGGGAGAAAGGTGAGGCAGTCTGCTTCTGTGGGAACGCTGTGGGGCGGCTCTGTTCTGTCCTGTGGAGTCACTATGAGTTGCAATCGACCCGATGGCAGTGGGCTTGGTTTTTTGGTTTCTCCATCGTTATACTTCTGTTGCCAACATGTTGATTCCAACTCATAGTGACGCTTTAGGACAGAGTAAACCTGCCCCATAGGGTTTTCAGGGCTGTAATCTTTGTGAAAGCAGACAGCATTACACTTAGCGTCACAGAATTTTAGAGTTAGAAGGTAATGCAGTCTAGCCTGATATATCTAAATGAGTTGGATAATGTTCACTTTTGGTGTAGAGTGTTCTCCTTTCTTTCCTCTGGGTCTTAGCATCTCAAGATATTTGGCAAAATTTTCTTGCTTGTTTTTCAGAGAGAAAAAAAATGACCTTTAGAAAGTCCCTCTGTGATAAATCTAATAAGAGTTAGAAATTAGGACTTCCAGCAGAAATCCTGCACTCATCCTTGCCTGGCTTGGATTTCATAGCCTTCTGTTATTGGGCCCTGTCTGCCCTCGCTAATGGTCTCTTGGACTCTGTTGGTTCTTCTCATCCATCGTACCCATCCTGGCCTTAGCTTCCAACCTGCTCAGCCAGGTCCACCTCATATGGGGAGCTATTTCACTTAGCAATGAATTTTCTCACTTCTCTAACTTTTGGCTCTTCCCATCTAGCCAGTGCTTACCTGAGCAGCACCAGCATCCACTCACTGTTTCTGCTAAAGGGTCCTAGCAAAATTAAAAAAACACAAACAACTCACTGAGCAGGACCTGCTGTCTGCCTTCACTAGAAGTTTACACTTTTTAGCCTGTCGAGCCCTCACTGCTGACTAGTTATCCTTTTATTCATCTTGTGTAGGTTCCCTAACTGACTCGCCATAGTGATTACACCACAACTCTCCCGTGAGTTTTCTCGAGAAAATTGAGGCCATCTTACATGAGTTTCCTCAGTTTCTCTCTTCCCCACTTCCAAGTGCTACAATTGTCTAGCTTCACAGTGTCCCTCCCCACTTTTGTCTCAACAAACGTATACTCCTTCCTTGTCTCCAGACACCCCACGTGCTGTATTCTTGATCCCAACCCTCCTCCCTTCTCTTTGGGGACCTTACTAGAGGGGTTTGTCTGGGCTCTTGCATTTTCATTATCTTCCCTTTGCCTTCAAACACGTCCACCCCGACTGCCTTCAGCCCCAGTTCCCCTCTTTTGCCTGTCTTCCCTTCACAAACACATTTAGATTGTGCTTTGGCCTTATAACTGGTTTTCTGCCTCTAGTCTTGTCCTCACCTTGATGCATTCAACACATTGTAGTGAGTGTGATCTGGAAAATGTAAACCTGACCATGTCATTCTCCCATGCCTAAAATACTTCAGTGACTCCCTTTAAAACAACAACAACAAAAAAGACATTTTTTGTTTTTGGTAGCAGCTTTATTTAAGATATAATTCACATACCAAACAATTCACCCACTTAAAATGTGCTATCCCATGGCTTTTAGTATATTCAGAGTTGTATATCCATCACCACAATCCTTTACCATGATCCATTTTAGCACATTTTCATCACCTGCAAAAGGAACCCACATATTAGCATTCACCCTCACACAGCCCCTTCCATGCCCTAGGAAACTAAAAATCGACTTTCTTCCTCTATAGACTTATTTTTTCCAGGTGTTTCACATAAATGGAATTGTACAATATGTGGTCTCTTGTGACTGACTGCTTGCACTCTGTACAATGTTTTCACGTTGTAACACATTGAGTCCCTTTTGCCCTTAGGTTTAAGATCAAACTTCTTAATGCTCTTACAAGTCTTGTGTGATCTGATGCCTATGTCCCTCTTCTGCATGACTTTTCTCACCTCACTACCTTATACTTTTTGCTCCACCTGAACTAAACTTCCTTGAATGCATCATGTTGTTCCCTTCCCTTGCCTGGAACATGCTTCCCAGCCGCCTCATTTTGCCTCACTGACTTGTGTCCTTCATGTCTTAGCTTCAGTGCTGCTGCCTGGGGTGAGCCCACTGCCTGTCCCTGATTACAGCATTTATCAAGCAAGACTGTAATTGCCACTTACTTGTCTGTATGCACTCTGGACCCTAGCTCAAGGGACCATAGCCCCTGCCCTGGACACTCTGCCTGCACAGAATGGCTGTTCAGGGAGTCCTGACCACTGGACCTTCTGGGAAGAGAAATCGAGTCTAGGCTTCTCTTCTTTATGATCTGCCCTGTCATTGCCCTTTGCAGTAGAGACCCTGCCCTCCCCACTGCCCTGAACTCTCTTGAAGGTTATCAGCTTCTATGTGGTTTGTCCTCAGTCTTGCTACAGCAGTTGATACTGTTTAATACCTACATGGAATTCTCTTCTCTCACATTGCCTTTGACATGCCATTGCCTTTGTTCTCCTTGTGCAAACTCTTGTGCATTCATTTGTTTGTTGATGTGTTCATTGGGAGAGACTCCAATGGCCATGGAGCAGAGTTGGCTGTAATCCTTAACAAAACTAATCACCAGGCCTGGATCGTCTGTAATATTGCTAGGTGGGTTTGAATCACCAACCTTCTGGTTACCAGCCAAGCACAGACTATCTGTACCACCCAAGGACATTTTGTGTAAACTCTTTATTATTCTCCTTCCCTGGCTCCTTGTCCTCCTCCAAGCTTCAAGAAGATGGATATTCTTTCATTTTGGTATTTAAACTTTTTTTGTATTTGAAACTTTTCTTTCTGCTTTCTCATCTGTTCCTCCAGCTTCACCAATTACCTGTGTGATTCCCAGTCTATATGCGTAGCCTGAATCCCTCTCCTTAGCTTCAAATATGCAGTTTTAGCAGTTCTCATCTTCTCTTGAGAATATTTCCAGTACTTTAAAAGGTTCATGTCCAGAAGTCACCTTTATCTTATGTCCCAATGCTAGGAAATACTTTTGGACCCTAAGTATTTCCCACCTGGTTGACTCTAAGAGCTTCTTACCCAGTCCTCCCACCTCATCTCTCTGCCAACTTCAGTGTCTTTTTTCAGTTCAGCTTGTAAACACCTATTGAATACCTATAGCTGTCAGATAATTTTTAAAGAAAAGCTCTAGTCATTTTATTCTCAGCTCAGAAAGCCTTCAGGGCTTCCCTTTGCCTACTAAATTAAGTAGGAAGTCTTCAGCTAGTATCCCAGATTGCTGTAAATAGAAATCTACCTGCCTCCATTTCTTTCTCATTCCTAATATTCTGGCTGTATTACCCCACCTGTTATTACTCTCGCACATTTTTATATTTGTTGCTGTCCAATATGGGTAGTTAAATGTAAATCATGTTTACAGATTCAGTTCCGTAGTCACACTGGCTATATTTCAAGGGCTCAGGCACTACAGTGGCTAATGGCAGCCATACTAGACAGTGTGGGTAGAGGACATTTCCACCATTGTTGAAAGTTCTGTGGACAGTGTTGCTGTGTACTTTCTAGTTTATGTTCTCTCTGGCTAAACTGCCCCCCACCATCTCCTCTACTCCTCCTCATAACTACTGTATAAAATCGTTCTCCCTCCATTAAGATTGTTGTTGTTAGGTGCCGTCGAGTTCAGCTCTGACTCGTAGCTACCCTGTGCACAGCAGAATGAGAAACACTGATTGTTCAGGCTTCACACCACAAATTCTGCCTCTTCCCCTGCCTTTTCACATCACTCCTTCCTTAATGAGATTGCCCCCTCCCTTTTGAGCCTCAGTAGCATTTTATCTCTTTATCCTTTGTGAAACCTAATTCTGTACTGCTCTTACTTCTAGTACTAAAGTAGAAGATTTTTTGAAGGTAAAAACCACATTAAAAAAGAAAGAAAGAAAGAAACCAATCTCACTGCCATCAAGTCTGTTGTGACGTACAGCAACCCCCTTTGGGTTTCCAAGGCTGCAAATCTTTATAGAAGTAGATTGCTCAGTCCTCCTTCTGCAAAGTGGCTGGTGGGTTTGAACCACCAACCTTCTGGTTAGCAGTCACATGCCATCGGCACTTCGCCACAAAAACCGCATTAGTGATCTTTTATCTTCTGTGTATAGTACAGTGGGGGTTCGATAAAGTTTGTTGAATTGAATTCCTAAGAAGAGAGTGCTGCTGCTTTCCTTTCTGTCACCAGCATCACAGTGAATGACTTGACACTCTGGTCTTCTTTCTTCCTCACATAACCACATAGGCCCCTTCCTGCAAGATCCGTCAGGAAGTGTAGCCGCTGTGCAGGTGGTCACGGGTGGCACATTCTGACTGAAAGCCAGTCTCGCTGGCATCAGTGTCAAGGAGAGCAACTGGCCGCAGGTTATAAACATGATCCTCTGGCTGGGGCTATGGGGTCTGCACATGGGGGGTGGAATTGCAGGGAGGGATTAATAGATAACTGAGGGGCAGGGAGGTGAGATACAAACTACAGACCTCGGAGAAGTGGTCTCCGAAGAAAGGACTGTGAAATGGCATTGGGTAACCAAGTCAGGGAAGCGGCAAGCTCAGGCATTAAAGTGCTTGCAGGATGAGGAGCCAGAAGATACCTGTTCTTAGCTAGAGCCTGATGGGACTTTCTGGGTGGGTCATCACTACCAGGTGCTTGTGTTCATTGATCCATTTCTGTTAACCCAGTGTCACTTGCCACGTAGGTGACTTTTTGCATGATTTGCAGATACTTCAGAGACATTAAGGTGTTAACCTCTTTGCTCTTTCGCTGCCCTTTGAGCTAAATAATTTGTTAATTATCCATCCAATGACTGCTGTGGGTGTCCTGAAGCTGAGTGTGTGTGTGTGTGTGTGTGTGTGTGTATGTACACGTGCCCACACACGTGTGTATGTGTGTATGTACATGTGCCCACACACATGTGTTCTGCAGGGGAGTGAAAGCTTAAGCTTACATGGTGTTTGTCTTTCCAGGCTTATTTTGCAGAGGGAGAAGCACTTCCATTATCTGAAAAGAGGTCTTCGACAGCTGACAGATGCCTATGAGGTAACACATTGCCCAAGAACTCATTCTATCAAATTGTCAGCCAAGTCTTCCTCCTTTTTCATATTCAAATACAAAAGACATATGAGCCTAACCTGTTGCAAATCCATCCTTTAGACCACGTGACTCTAGCAGTAACCCGGTCCTTCTTCTTTAAAGGGACAGATACCCCTCAACAGCTAGGGAAAGTGGGAATGGGGCTGAGTGGCAGGAACAGCAAGGATGTCTCCCACCTTCCTGCCTCACTTCACCCGGAACAGCTCTGCCTTTAATCTGCTTCCTATGATGGGGGTGGGAGGAGAAGCAGAACTGGGGGAGAGGCAGAGCTAAATTTGACTGTTATGTCTGGGGTTTGCAAACTCAAATGCCTGTAGGGCCCAAGCAGGTAGCATAAGTAAGAAAAGTAGGGCCGGGTGGAGACTCAGGCAGCCTGGAGGCCCCTTGCTTTTACTCAATTCCTGCCAACTGCAGCTGTACAAGAATGCAGACACACAGTTGCAGGATCTCCAGATTTTCATGCCAATCTCCCAGTAGTAAAATCAATTCTAAATAAACCAACAAACAAAATACTGCAGGCAGACCCCATCCATGGGCCAGATCTGGCTTGTGGGCTCTCAGTTTCCAGCCTTTGACTCAAGTACTCAATGAGTAGAGTCCAGTCAGCCCTAATACAGTTAATACTAGAACAGCTAATAGTTCATTGGAATTGGCTCTAGAATTTTAACATGCATTATTACATTTAATCCTCACAAGCACTTTATGAGGGAGTATTTTTTTACAGATAAGCAGCATAGCAAGGTAAGTAATTTGTCTAAAGACACATGGCTAATAAGAGGAGGAACCGGGATTCAAACCCAGGCAGGCCCAATCCATCAGTGTCTTCAGTCACCATACCAGACTGCCCCCAGGCAGTGCGTAGCAAGCTGCCATAGCTCAGGATATACAGTGCATTGAAGAAGTGGGCCGCTTGAGCCAAGAGAAGGAGCGCAGGATTGGGAGTCTGAAAAGCTGGGTGGTTGTCTCAACGCTGACATTTACTATCTTTATAATCTGGAAAAAATTAATCTCCTTGGACCTCATTTTATATACTTTTAATTTTTATAACTGAGACAGTATTGCTACCTGCCCTGCTTAGCCTTGGATGCTCAATTAATATTTATGGCTTGAATTAGGATCAAGATCTGTTCATATATCGCCTTTGGAAGCCTTCACTGGCTCCCCCAGTTAGAGTAGTCTCTTCTGCATGTTCCCTCAGAGCTCTGTTTCTGCCTGTTACAGCACTTACCCAGTTAGGGGTACATATGTGTTATATTCCATCTTGTTCCAGAAAGACCCAAGGCAGCTTGCATTTTTATGTCCTCTTCCACAAAGATACCTGCACACATTTTATATCCTGAGCATCTCCTGATAGGAACCAAATTGTATTTATTATCTTGCCTCCAGTATCTGGTACAATGTTTGGCATTGTAAATGCCAAATACTTCTGGAATCAGTGAATGAGTTAAGCCAGGAAATCCCTTCCTATATATAAGTCTCCTTGGGTCTACACTGAGAAAATAGCAGCACTTGACACCCTGGTGTGTAAAAAGTCCTCTGCTCAGCCTTACTTAGATGCCTACGGAGAAGGACCCACCAGACTCACAGTAAAGTTCTTTACCTCGTTATCCTTTTTGTCCTTCTGTGTGATCGTTTTAGTTCCTGGCTAAGGCCACAAAGCAAGCATCCTTCACTGGTTCTTGTCCGCAGGGTGCCTTCCTCCCCCTTCCTAGGCTGCCAGGAGTGAGATAGATGTCACCTTGTCAGCAGTGTCTCAGACTGATTCTGAATAAGGGGTGTGTCTTCTCCCTCCTCCCTATCACAGTGTCTGGATGCCAGCCGCCCATGGCTCTGCTATTGGATCCTGCACAGCTTGGAACTGCTAGATGAACCTATCCCCCAGATGGTGGCTACAGAGTGAGTCTGGCTCTGGGGAATCTGGGGTGTCCCCTGAAATTGTATGTTGAATTTGGGGTTCTTCCTGTTGGGTTTCTCTTTTACTTGTTTTGAATGAAAACCCAGTTCACTACAGAGAAACCCTTGCCCTTCCTTTGACCTTCAGTGACTTTCTGAAACCCCCCCTTATTATAAACTGGTGGGCAGAACAAGACTTTGAACTCCCAAGAGAACAGTTCTGGTTTCTTCTGTGGCCCTTTGTTTTGTCTCTTGCTCTGGTCTTTGAGAAAATTCTTCATCATTGACTCTGAAAGACATGATTTCTCCAGAAAGTACAGTATGCATTTGAATAACTTCTGTGTGAAAGTGTACACCAACCCAAGGACCAAAAATTCCTTTGCCTTCACTATGAGGAGCACAAGAGTTATTTAAAAAAGAAAAAAACATTTCCTTTGCCTTCCATAAACACCTTCATAGAAGCACACCACGAGTGCAGTGTCGGGGGGACAGTATAGTTCTTGATGGCACTGGGTATGTTGCCATCTTGGAATGCAAATGCCATGACTCACAGTTTCCTCAAATGTCTGATTTATGATTCGAGATTCAAGCAACTGAGATTTCTTCCCAAGTTGCTTGTGCAGCTGGTGTTCTCAGTATGGCACTTTTCTCAGAAGCTTTCCACAATTTATATTTTAACGAAGAGAAAAGTTGATCTTCACTCCAGTCTTAGTGATACCTGGGATGGAATGGACAAGGGCAGCCAGGAATCAGCTCGCATTTCCCAGTTCTCATTGAGAAGGGAGCATGCCCAGCTTGACTTCATCCGCTCTCTCTGGTGCTTCTGAGGGAGAGGATTCTGGGAAGTAAGGCTCTTGAGCCTTGAGCAGGTTCATGTTTCTGCAGCACCCAGAAGCACTATGCCAGGAGGCAGGAAGGCCAGCCGGTGCCCCTGCCTGGGCACAGCGCCCCTGCCTCGGTCACATTGTCAGGTCAGAAGAACAGAACCGCACATTGTCTCATTCATTCTGTCTTAACAATAACCTCTCATTCTTGCCTTCCTGGGCAGGGTGTCTTGTGATGAATGTGAATGGGGGAGATAATGAAGAATTAGGCCATTAACCCTTGTGATGTGTATACAGCTTTCTGAGGGAGAGGAAAAATATGCTTTGTCTTCATCGTTAGGATGCTGCCGCAAGCCAAGTTGCTTCTAGCTCTGGAAACCAAGTTGGGCACAGTTTCTGCAGTAACAGGAATTTAATTGTCAAAATAAAGGCCCGTGTGTTTTTGAAATACCATTTGGGGGTTGGGAGTTGTTTAGGAAGTTTTCCCACACACATCCACAATCAGGATGTGCTCTAGGGAAAGGGAATGTATGAAGCAGTGGAGGATTCTATAAGAGAGAGAGAGGTACAGGTATCCGATCGGGGGCAACATAGCCAGTCGCAGTGGGAACACAGGATGGTAAGAGGGTTTCTGAAGTAGAAGCACTAAGGCCAAAATCAATTTTGAGTTTTTGTCCAGTTTGTATATTGGTGGTTTTTAGTGAAGCCTTTTCTGAGTGAATAAGTATCAGAGCTTCTGTGAGCTACCTTTGTGGCCTTATCAGGAAGAGAGGACCCTTTAAAGGGCTTTTCACAGTGGGCAATTGGAAACAACCTAAATATCCAGCAGTAAGGGATGCTTTAGAATTTAAAGTTTATTTAAACTATGATGTAATATATACAGTGAAATACCATGCAGCCATTTTGTTGTCGTTATGTGCTGTCGAGTCAGCACCAACTCAGAGCGACCCATGTACAACAGAACTAAACACTGCCCTGTCCTGGGCCACCCTCAGACTCCCCGCTATACCTGAGCCCATTGTTGCAGCCACTGTGTCAGTCAGTCCTGTTGAAGGTCTTAAGCTTTCTCGCTGACCCTCTACTTTGCAAAGCATGATATCCTTCTCTAGGGAATAGTCCCTTCTGACAACGTGAGCAAGGTACGTGAGGCAAAGTCTGGCTTCTAAGGAGTATTTCAGCTGCACTTCTTCCAGGACACATCCTTTCATTCTTCTGGCAGTCCATGGTATTTTCAGTATTCTTTGACAACACTGCAGTTCAAAGGCATCAACTGTTCTTTGGTCTTCCTTATTCATTGTCCAGCTTTCACATGCATATGAGGCTACTGAAAATACCATGGCTTGGGTCAGGCACTTAGTCTTCAAAGTGACATCTTTGCTTCTTAACACTTTAAAGAGGTCTTTACAGCACATTTGCCCAGTGCAATACAACATTTGATTTCTTGACTGCTGCTTCCATGAGTGTTGATTGTGGATCCAAGTGAAATGAAATCCCTGACAACTTCAGTCTTTTCTCCATTTATCATGATGTTTCTTACTGGTCCATTTGTAAGGATTTTCATTTTCTTTATGTTGAGGTATATAATCTATACTGCAGACTGTAGTCTTTAATCTTCATCAGTAAGTACTTCAAGTCATCTTCATTTTCAGCAAGCATAATTATGTCACCTGCTTATAAAGGTTGTTAATGAGCCTTCCTTCAATCCTGATGTCACATTCTTCATATAGTCCAGCTTCTCAGATTATTTGCTCAGTATATGGATTGAATAAGTTTAGTAAAAGGATACAACCCTTATACAAACACTTCCTGATTTTAAACCATGTAGTATCCCCTTGTTCTGTTCAAACTATAGCCTCTTAGTCTGTGTACGAGTTTATCATGAGCACAATTAAGTGTTCTGGAATTCCCGTTCTTTGCAATGTTGAATCTATAATTTGTTTTGATCCACACAGTCAAATGTCTTTGCATAGCCAATGAAACACAGGAAAACATCTTTCTGGTATTCTTTGCTTTCAGACAAGATCCATCAGACATCAGCAATGATGTCCCTTATTCTACATCCTCATCTAAATCCAGTTTAAATTTCTGGCAGTTCCCTGTCAAACTGCTGCAACAGTTTCTGAATTATCTTCAGCAGAATTTCACTTGAGTGTGAAATTAATTATATTGTTCAGTAATTTCTGCGTTCTTTTGGATCACCTTTCTTTGGGATGGGCACGAATATGGATCTCTTCCAGTTGATTGACCGGGTAGCTGTGTTCCAGTTTTCTTGGCATAAATGAGTGAGCGCCTCCAGTGCTGCATCTATTTATTGAAACATCTCAGTGGGTATTCGTAAACATTTTGAGCTTTGTTTTTCACCAATTCCTTCAATGCAGCTTGGACTTCTTCCTTTAATACCATTGGTTCTTGATCATGTGCCACTCCTGAAATGGTTGGATGTCGATCACATTTTTTTGGTACAGTAACTTTGATATTCCTTCCATCTTCTTTTGATGCTTCCTACATCATTTAGTATTTTCCCCATAGAACGCTTCAGTTTCACAATCCAAGGCTTGAATTTTTTTCTTCAATTTGTTCCTTCAGCTTGAAAAATGCAGAGCATGTTCTTCCCCTTTGATTTTCCAACTCCAGATCTTTTTGCACATTTCATTGGAATGCTTTGTCTTCTTGAGCTTCCCTTTGAAATCTTCTGTCCAGCTCTTTTTTGTCATCATTTCTTACATTCACGTTAGCTGCTCTCCATTCAAGAGCAAGTTTCCAGAGTGTCTTTTGATATCCATGTTGGCCACCTCTTCCTCTCCTGTATTTTTAATGACCTTTTGCTTTCTTCAAGGAGCTCTGGTGGTGCAGTGCTTAAGACATTTGACTGCTAATCAGGAGGCTGGCAGTTCAAATCCACCATCCACTCCACAGAAGGAAGACCAGGCAGTCTACTTCCGTAAAGATTTACCACCTCGGAAACCCAATGGGGATCACTATGAGTTGGAACCGACTTGATGGCAGTGGTTTTGGGTTTGGTTTTGCTTTCTTCATGGATAATGTCTTTGATGTCATCCCATGACTCATCCAGTCTTTGGTCACTGGTGTTCAGTAAGTCAAATCTGTTCTTTTGATGGTTTCTAAATTTAGGGTAGATATATTCAAAGTTGTGTTTTGGCTCTTGTGGACTTATTTTCATTTTCTTCATCTTCACTTTAAACTTGCATATGAGCAACTGATGCTGTGTTCCGCAGTCTCCCCCGGCCTTGTGCTGACTGAAGATATTGAGCTTTTCCATCTTCTCTTTCTGCAGATGTAGTCTGTTTGATTCCTGTGTGTTCCATCTGGCGAAACTCACAGGTAGTCGCCATTTCTGTTGTTGAAAAAGGCATTTGAATGAATAAGTCATGGTCTTATAAAATCTGTCCTGTGATCTCCAGCATCATTTCTGTCACAATGGCAGTATTTTCTAACTACCGATGCTTCTTTGTTTCCAACTTCAGCATTCCAGTCACAAGTAATTACCAATGTATCTAGATTACATGTTTGGTCAATTTCAGACTGCAGAAGTTGGTAAAAGTCTTCAATTTCTTCATTTTTGGCTTTAGTGGTGAGAGATAAAGATATACTACTATTAGGATGTAGAGCAATCTTAATGACATGTATAAAAATTGAATTTTTTGTTTTTGGACTACTTAATACAGTATGCTGCCATTATTTTATACAGAGATAAAAAAATACTTTGCAAATGTAATCTTTTTTAACTTTTTTTTTTTTTTTTTCATAAAATGTTTAAGTGACCTAGAGGCAGAGAGTTTAGCTCTGGAGTTTTTATTGGTTTCCTGCCCTTGTTTCCCCTACCATGTGTGTGTGTGTGTATGCGCGTGCGCGCACGCACACGTGCATGCATATCTGCACACACATACACGCACACAAAGTTTTTCTCTCTTTGCTCTTTTGTTCACTGTTGTGCTTCTGTTTGTTTGAGGAGCAGTATAACAGACCGGGTTCCCTCTAGTGGACAAAATCACTTTTGTCAGCTACTATGACAGGGAGCTCTGGTAGCATAGTGCCTAAGGCACTTGACTGCTAACCAGAAGGCTGGCTCCTTGGAAGGAAGATGGGGCAATCTACTTCCGTAGTGATACTGCCTTGGAAACCCAAGGAGGGGTCGCTATGAGTCGGGTCCGACTTGAC